GACCTCAGGCCTAGAAAAACTAAGCCTGTGCTTTTGAAAGAGGCCTCTGTTTTGGATACCTCCATTTTCAGATACCCAGCTTGGGCTGTAATTTTTAAGTGCTACACACAGTGCACTTCAAAAGGTGACCAAATGGCTTCTCCCAGTGCCCTTCATCCCTGCCTCTGAATTACCCTTAGAGAGTGAAGGAAATATGAATCGGAGCAATGTTTTTGTGATCAAGCTACACGTGACCTTCAGATAAATACATGCATCAAATTACCTGTAAAGAAATGAATAGAGGAAATAAATGACCCTCATGGATACAGCCAAAGAAGCTATGTTCTGCTGTGACAGCTGATGATCATGCTGGTGAGCACAAAAGAGGCCTAACTTCACTGAATTAGTTGTTCTCTTGAATCTAACACCCAGGAAAAGGAGAAAAGTGGTACAACCCAAAAAGAGATCAAATGCGGTTATTTAAATGTTTGATGTTCAGTAATGAAAACTGTTTACCTTCATAATTGTGTATTAGCAGCTAATAAAGGCAATAGATACAGTAGTTTAAAAGTAATAAAATCAACACCAAAGTGTATTTAATTTTAAATTGAATTGCAGGCAAATGGGTGTCCTAATGAACCCCTGTGTCAATGCGCTCTAACTAAATTAAGTGAAATAATTTCCATCATGAGAAACTAAATAAGTGCAAAGTTCCAAACAGACCATTCTTCTCAAGGAGAGAAGTTAACTTCTCAGATGTTTCAGCTCTACAAATTAGCTAGTGCCATTCAAGAACCATCTTCTGTTACTTCCATTTAGGACAACTGGACCCAAGTTGACTTGACTGCAGCTCAAGGATAACACTTCAAAGGTGGTTGACTCCATGCTTCTTGTATTCAGCCCTTAGCACTGGAATCTTGTCCTTAGTTCTTATCTGTCCTGGCTTGGGCAAAATTCCAGTGTACATCACTGGGACTAGTGACTACACAGACCTTCTGACTGATTCAGCTATTGCCTGGGCATTTACATGATACAATTCTACTGGTGGAGGAATCTGGAAAACAGTTTAGCTATGTATCAGTGGTAATTTAACTGATGTAAATCTGTACATATATATGTTTCTAAAAAAAAAAAAAAAAAAAGCCATAGGCGAAGGCTGAGTAAAACTGATTTGTAGGAATGTGCCAGGAACTTGGAGGTGGGAGCACCTGTTTCAGAAGAGGGGAATTTGAACTGTGTTACTTCGCTAGCGTGTGTGCCTGAGTCTGGGTTGTTTAGCAGGACTGCGGAGTCTCTGTAATTTTCTTGATAAAGAACCATGTTAATTTTACAAATGTGGAGGCTTCTCATATTTTCACCTAGCATGCAAAGAAGGAAACAGGAATGAAGACACTGGAGCTGAATTTGTCAAAAGCAAGTCAGAAAATGCTGAAGGAATGTTTCAGAAGTGCAGTCCAGGGAAATGTTGTTGGTTTTGACTCTTGATTCTTTTTTGTTTGTTTGTTTTGAATGAACACCAAATTTTAGCATTTTCTTTTGTGGCTAAAAACTTAACTGCATACATGGCTTGGCAACCTAAGAGACCCTGTCCTCTGCTTGCCTGTGTTGTAGATGCCCAAGCTAATCCTGAATTGCAACTCTACGTGATGCAGTGATTTCTCTTTTAGAGCAGGTTTTGGAAGCAAAAGCTGAAGTGTTTTGAAGGCAGCAGAGCATCTACAGATGTTTTTACTTAGAGCCATTTCTACTTAGATACTGGTGCCGAGCAGGGACAGAGGAATTGCTCGCAGTTCTGTGTCTGTTGAAAGATAGGATGGGATTGCCAAAGCATACAGATTTACAGTGCTTATTGTAAATGACTTAGTTTTGCATTTGTTCCTGCTGTGCTCTAGGAACAAGGCTTTCTCCATAGGGTATTGTGCCTTTTGTGTATCCTGTGCACTAAGCAGGGCAGCACTGGGTTATCCAGTGTAGGGCTGTTCTTACACCATTTGCTGGCATTTTGTGTTGCTACAGGGACCTCTCTTTTTTAAAAAAAAAATCTTTGAGTTGATACAATTACCCCCCAAATTACTTTAACTACACAAGAAGTTAACATATGAATGCCAAGGAAGGTTTAATGGTTCACATACAGCTGAAAATTAGTTTGTGTGTGCATATATATGACATATATACGTTTTTTTCATATATCTAAAATAAGATCTTTTAGAAGATTTATAAATGATATAAGATTTGTATAAAAATTTATAAGATTTCTGAAAAAAAAAGGGTAAGATTTATATATATAGTAAGATTTTTTTTCAGTGGTTTAAAGCAACCCAGTCCCCAAGGAACCAATGTTTTCCAAAAACCAGTTCCAGTTTATTGAAGCTGTCAGTCGGTCCTCAAAGTGTCAACAGAGGCAATGGCTTCCTACTTTAATATTCTTAAGCTAGAACCTGAGCCCCAATGCCAGACAGAGCTGATTATACACGGGCAGTGAAAGTTTAGGTTCCTTATGTTGACCTGTGGCACAAACTGACAAATATTGGTTGTGTTACTGGGGCTGTGACCGCATTTTTTGTGTGCCGCTTTTTGAAGCCTAGCCATTTCTTTTCTTTAGCACACTGCTGTTTCTCTTGGGTGCCCTGCCAGGCTTATGATATATTCAAGAAAAACATCCAACTGTGATGTATTTCCAACGGCAAGTGCTTTCTGTGTCTGCATTGTAGTTCATTGCAGTTCTTCTTCCCTCTTCCCTTTCTAACTGCTGCAGAGTGGGAAGTCAGCCACTGAAAGCAGAGCAGAATGGATGGGAAGAAGAAATGGTAGCCAGCTTTGGTAACTTCGCAGGTGTGAATACTGGATTAAATGGAGCAGCAGGACCTTGTGGGAAGGTGAAGTTCTCCATGAGTGCTCTTTTTCTCTGATGCAAACTGCTAAATGACTAGATCAATTGCATTGCATTATTCTTGCTTTTTTATTTTTTCTTTTCATAGTTTAAGAGGATAGAATTTAGCAGGTTTCAAAATATGCTTTCCAGCAGAAGTAACCATACGCTTAAAGAGAATGTCTAAAGCTATTAATGATGAATCATCTGGGCATGGCAAGAGTTCTTCAAAACAGTTTGTCAGCGCTGGCCAAGCAAAGTCTTTCAGCAGGGGATGAGACAGCTATGCCACCATGCAAATGAGACAGGCTTGAAATATGATGAATCTTCTATCTCCTTTTCCTACTCAACTGACACTCGCTTTGAGGAAGGTTGTAAATGCAAGAGAGATTGTGGTATAATTCCTCAGACTGGCGTTTCTGCCCCCCAGTCACTATTCGATTATCTTCCAAATTGCTGTGTTTCAGAGAGATAAAGATTTTTTATGGCTTGCTGACTTGAAACAACCAGAAGAGCCAGAAAAGAGATGGCTAACCGGCCATGCATAGTAATTCCATTGGTAAATGACAAAATCTTTGTTTGTATGACATTTCCAAAATTACTACAGAAGATGAATCTAAAATATAAAATGTCACATTTGGCATGCAAAACTATCACAATATATTTCAGTATAAAATTCATAGAGGCGTTTAATTTAGAATGTGTTTAATAACGAAGTCTGCTTGCATCAGTAATCCTGCCTTGAGGTTTAAAAAGATTGTCTTATTTATTCACATAATGTTAATTTTTTTATATATGATTCAGAAACCAAAAATATTAAGGTTAAATCTTCATTGTTAATTAAGATTTTCTAATTAAGCTGAAAATAATTGTCATTCAGATTAGTTGTTAAGTATGGTTTGTGTTGAGAAACAAAAGAAGTTTAACAAATTCAGCTGTTTATTTAACTGCTTAATTTAATTCCAGAAGCTTTCTATCTATATGGAAATATGCTATCTCTTCCAAAATAAATCCAAGACAGGATTAAAGAAGAGATTATTAGCTACTGTAGGCTTAAACTGTGAGACTACTAAACCTAGTAGTCAAGGTAGCCATTTGATTCTGAAGTGTGGCATGGGTTCTTGTATCACATTGCATTAAAAGAAGAAGGCCTAGCACTAGTGTTTTCTCAAAATAATGGAAGAAGTTGATTCCTTGGGAGGGGGAAAATAGCATTGTTGATTTGAAGCACTAAATAATTAGTTAATGCGGAAGCAATTTTATCCATTGAAGTCAACACTGGAGCCAAACTGGGACTCCCTGTTACGTGCCTGACCCTGCAGATGGCATTTGAGCAGGACTGAAGTATCCGCTGGCGTAATGGGACAGACCCTACGCCTTTATTCGGGCAAGACTTGGAAGGATCGTACCGCTGTGTCTGTTCCCCTCTGCCAACCTCCACACTATAAGCTGAGCATACAAGGAGAGCACCAGAAAGGCATTTCTGATACGCAGCACAGCATTTATTCCATACTAAACGTTCTGTAACTCAGACAACATCTTGTCGACAGCAAGCAGCAGATGTTTGCTTTTGTCTGGACTTGGAATAAAGGTGCCTGTAGGGAGTTGTTATTAAACTCTACACGTGTTGCACTTTGATTACTATTTTTAAGAGAATCTGATTATATGATAATCAGAAGGTGAAAGGATAGTCTGCATATTACACAGCACTAATAGCTTTGGCAAGGCTAATAATTAGTATAAAAACATGGCCTGCCCTGTCTTTCACTCTGTGCCTGCAGCCTGCTCATCACTTCACATATTGTGCCTGTCTTGCAAAGTGCGCTATATTTTTGAAGGTGTTGTTTTCCAGGTAAGTCTGCCTTATTATTGCAGGCTAATGGCTTCTGGTGTCATACTTCAACAGCTCCACCTTCCCCCCAAGGATGCCAAACATTTTATTAGTATTATTTGCATTATTTTTTTATCTGTCATCTCTATGGCTTTTGACCTCCTAATTGCAGATCCTCGGTTAGCAATAAATAATTGCAGGTTGAACAAGATGCGTGTTGTCTACTTTTCCGTAGTTATTTTCTTGAAGAAATTTGTTCTCGCTAATTGTATGGTTAAAGTCAGCTCAACCCAGGTCAGTAACTCAGAGCCTTCTCCCTAGGCTGACCGCTCCAAGACACCGCAGCCGATAGAAATTCACATCAAATGCCTAAGGGGAGTCAAAGATAAGGTCCCTAAAGGCCACTACACCCTCAAAGTTTCTGTTCTCAGCCGCTTAGGTGGTGCCTCACTGGAGTGGCCCAAAGTGAAGGAGCAGCCTCAGGCCAGAACAACGCTGCCTGTTAGTCATGATGGAAACTTTTACAACACTGAAATCTACTTCGGACAAAGTATCCAGACAGTAAGCAACACTTCTTAAATATGCTGTCTTTGCTTTGAAAGTTAAAACACATCCGCTCTTTCTCCTTCAGGCTTATATATTTAATGCATTCCATCATGTTCATAATTTATTTAATAATTTAAGGTGCAATTTAGGAAGGTGCAATTTTTTTTCCCCTAGGTTAACCCTCATCACTCACTCTAAAAGTGCCAAACATACACTACATCATATAGTGTTGTCAGCTAATTTTAAATTTTACTTTTATTCTCTCTTATCTATGCAGCTTGTCAGCTATGTAATTTGATTTCTGTAAAGTAGCTTTAGAATAATAAATGAACGAGTGGGTGTATATAAACACTTGAATGCCCAAATCCTTCTGTGAGTTTTTAGCTCCATTGACCCCCATTTGCCAAAAAAGCAGCATTTGGATTATTTTGGAAGGAGCCCAAACACTTGAGGCTCTATTCTGTCTTCTGCGACTGAGGCACTCATATTTTCCTGCCTAAGCATGCTGTGTGTGGCAGGATTGTTGTGTGTCAGTTGCTCACTGTTGTAGCTAATGCCTAGTGCTGGTTGAAACATTGGTCTCAGATAAAGTCTCTGGCACGTGAAAGCTTCTTTACGGTTTGAAAAACAACCCCCATCACGCTCAGTGTGGGTTTTTGTGTGTGTTATGAGGCATTAGTAGCATGAGGAGGAGAGTCTTTTCCGTTTTCAATTATTTATTTTGCAATATGACCTGAATGGTAGATTTCCTCCTCCACCCCTTCCATTGTGTGAAGTGTTGTGTAGATACTGAACAGTCATTCCCTATCCCAAAAAGCTTTCAGATAAAGCAACATTTATGTTTGGCACTGATGCTTTAAAGCAACGTTTATGTATGGCACTGATGCTTTCAGTTACTTGTGGATAGGTCATTTCAGCTATTGGGTTTGTGATATATAACACTATATGCTAAGTCACATTTTCTGCTTTTTAATTGTTTATCATCAGTAATAGACAATGAACAGTGTCTGTAAATACAGCTGTTCGTATGAAAAGAATCATATATAGAGAGAGGGAAATTGTGAATGTGACTGTCACATGATGTTAAAACAAGTACTTGTATCTGTCAGAGAAATCACTGAGCTGGGATTCCTCCCTAGGCAGGATGCACACATTCTGCTTACTGTCTCAGAGACCAAGTACTGTCTTCTCAGGCACACTGGAAGGAGAAGACTATGGGCGGCATGACTGAACAACTCCAGAATGCTCTGCCTCCTTGCTTTCAGCATCGTGTTTCTCCTGGGTCTTGCCTGCTGCTTTTGCTCCTACCTGGGGAACGTCCCCAGCTCAAGACGGCATATATCTGTTCTCTGTACTAAACAAGAGCTAGTTCACATTGACCCATCTTCTGTCCAGCTGCTCCTCAATGCAAAGGAACTCCTGATGGGCATTTGTGAGGAGTACATGCCAAGTCCACGTACTTTTCTTGCTGTTAGTCTCTACTGGGTTGTGCGGACACCTCAGTAACTACTTAGAGGTGGCTATTATGCTTCATCTGAAGGTCTGAGAGAAACCCCTGGTAGTTTTACCACTTTTCCAGTTTGCTTTGAAGTCCTCTTTGAGTCTCACAGAGGACATTTAATTACCACCTTCACCAGACTTCATTTTTAGCTTAGTTAGCCAGGGTGCAGGTCTCAGGCAAGTCCACTTAAAATGCAGGACCAGGAGGAGAAGTTTGATTAAATGACCTTCAGGTGATTCCCTGTCTTCCTTACTGTATAATGGACAGCAAAAGCTTAATGTCATAATTTTAGAGAACATCCTCTGCCAAGTCATTTTGAAGACGTAGGTGGTGTACCCTGAATGATTCTACCTTTCTCTTCTTCCACCCTGGTATTGGCCCACAACCTTAAGCTGTGTTTTAAAAGAACCCCTTAGGATCTCTGCTGAGATGAGGCAAATTTTAAGCTTCAGATGGTTAGCATCTACTGCAAAACTTAGCATAAGTAGCGAGATCTCGGTGAGCTCCAGATGAGCGTCTGTGTTTGAACACAATCTTACATACAGCACTGCTGCCCTGGGATGTATTACGGGGGGGGGAAATACAAGTGCTCACAAATGAAGAATAAGCTTTTGTTTTCATTGGCCAGAATGATAGGAGTTCAGCGTAAACATGGTGAAAATGAAGACATGCATGCTTGATATTGAAGGAAAGCTTCATTTTAACTAATATATTGGAGAAATTGTTCCAGAACACTACATCCTTCCAAAAATAATAACCCTGTCATGTCGGCAAAGTTGGTGTCAGCATGGGTTACCTGCTGCGTACAGAAAGTGCTGGTCATGTAAGTTAGATCTGCCTCAGGGCTAGTCTGACTTGCGCACCCGACCTTTCAGAAATGTTTTTTGTTCATTAATCAATGTTCTTTGCTCCAGCTTTCCAGCTTCCCTTCTTTCCCCTCCTTCACTGTCCTCCTTTTTAGTTTGTCAACCTACCTCCCCCAATAACCTCTGACTACATATTAGACAGTGGCTCCTAATAGCCCCAGCTGAATTTTATTTGGCTTTCAGTAAGGCCAGACAGTCACACAAGTCACTTTTTTTCCTTAAATTATGCTGGACAAAACCTGTATGAAAGCTTTGGATTGTGATAAAATGCAATTGCTGTTTCCAATGACTCTCTACAATTTTAGGAATAGGAACTAACAGCATGATCTGAAGGGCACTTGTTTTAGACCCAGCATCTCAAGGATGTCTTCATATATTTAGTTTATGCAAGGGGACCTTAGACTTAGGTGGGTTTAGGTCTGTCTAGTTTAGGTGAAGCAAGAGCTGTTCGGAAGCTTCACCTACATTATAACACAAACTGAACATGAACTCAAGCTGAGATTCAGAAAGTGCGGTAGGTTAACTCTGGTGGTAAAGAAGCTTTGTTAAACTTTCAATATTCTCTTGCACTGCCTGATTTTTCTCAGGTCTAGAATGAAAGTTGAGTAAGGAGAGGACAGGAAAGGAGATGAGGTGCTTACTGTGCATCTAGTAAGGTAGTTATGCAATTAGATTGTCCTTGGCAGCGCCTGCACAGGTATGACTGCATCATCTTTACACTAGACCAAGGATTTCACTAGTACCATTTCCTTATTACTGTCTCATGGTGGCTAAGATCCTGCTATAGATAAGACCTAAGTAGTAAACCTTTTTTGTTCAGAGTGTATTTAAAGCAGTGTCTTATTACTCCGTAGGATTCATGTCCCAGTGTTAGCAGGTCCAGATTACATTTTTCAGCTTAATGATGACTTGAAGAGCACAAATGTGTTGCGATATGCAAGAGTTTAATTTTGCTCAGGAAATTTTTTTTTTGTCAGCTTTTCTTAAGTTCAGTAAACATTAAAATAGTTGTATGAAACAATTACAACAGGAAGAAGAAATCCTCGCTTTTCAGAGTAAAAATATTCATTGGCTTCAATGGAATAAAAATCAGAGTGTGGCTAAAATACTTCTCTTTAAAAAAAAAAAAAAAAAAAAAGTTTTCAGTTATAACTTCAATTCTCAGGACCAAAATATTTTGTTGTACATCACAAGCTTCACCTATTAAGAGAAGGAACCTTTAAGGAAGATCTTCCTATTTCAAGTATTTGCAATAAATTATAAACTTTTCCAGAACTCTTCTCCAGAAAAAAATATTGCCTATTAGGAAGCAAGTTTTTATTCAGAAGGGGATGTTCAGATAAGAATTTTTCAGCTATTGTGAAGAGCACTATAAGCCAATGAGACTGCCTGCAAGTGACATTTAAAAAACATGCATTAAGCTGTCCAGTCACCTGGGATGTCAGTCCAGCATTGTTGAGGAGAAGCAGGGACAATCATGTCAGTGGTGGGCTCCCCAAAATTCCAAAATTGGCACGTCAGCAAAAAAAATGTGAGCTCCAGAAGTATGTGAGCACTGGTGCTATGCATTTTGCCCAACTTACCTGGAACTCAGGTTAGCACTAAATCAGTTCATATGCATATAAAGCCACCATTGCTGACAGAACAGTTCACAGATCTGTGGATTTTTAAAGAGTATATCAACTGGTTAATATTTATGTATCAGTGTGGCAAGGTACTAGCAATATTGTAACAGTAGCTGGGGTACCATTTTGTTTTACTTCAGGGAAATTCAATATGAATAAAACAGCAACTTTTCAAACATGACATTTAATCCACGCATGTAAATCATACCAGGAGATCTATTATTCATTATTAAAAGGGCACCATATTTTTATTACACTGAAAATGAAACACAAATGCTGTGAAAAATTTAGTGCCTTTTCCTGAAGTTTCAGGACACTTATCATGCAGTCATCTAGCAGGGGCTGACACTCATTTTAAAATATAGCTACAAAATTAATAAATTTGAACTCTTTTGCTTGGAAAAAGAGGATGTTCTGTTTCACTGAATGAGGTGGATTTATTTTTTATTTAAGGCTTCCTAAATACTTAAGGTGGCAAAGTACTTTGGTAATGTTCACATTCGGAGTTAGATATATAACGAATAAAGTTCATATCTTTGTTGTTATTAGTCATTTCCAACATTTTCTTCCCTGAAGTGTATTTTGAAAACTACATATATCAGAAACTGATTAACATGACCTAAGGTATTAATTCTTAAAATATGATGAAACAAACAGTTTCAAGGACCTTATTTTCTGTATGTCAGCAGCTGTCTAAGACTGTGATGCTTTTAGTAATTACAAAACAAGGTATCATTAGGAAAAGTAGAGCACAAACTTTTTTTTTTCTCCCCCCCCCTCCCCCCTTTTATTCTTGAGCGAAACGCTGGCACAGATGAAGAACATTTAGCTCTAGGACACTTTATAGGCCATAACATAAGAGTTTGATACACTATGAAAAAAGATAGGAAGTAATAATGCTTGGTAGTGCCAGAGGACTTTCAAAATGAGAGCCACTTAAATTTTCCCTGGATGCAATTATTTGTAGTTGGGATGATAAGGTGCTACGTGAACCTTTTGGTAAATGCAAGAACTAAGCTTAGA